GTAGCTCCATTCTCTGCCTTTAAAAGCACACACAACCCACAATTCCTCTATTCGCTCCGACGAAGGGCTAACACTCGAAACGTCAGCTTTTGTAATCGTTACGGTGGCCAATTTACCACTTCAACTTTGTTGATATATCCAGATTATTTCGTTACTCCCACCGAAGCTGCCCCAAACAGTTTCTTTTGAAACTATCAGCCTTTATCAATAACTCAGTTTTACGATATTGCCACAGCTGCCCCCATTATTTTCCCATGAGATTTCACCCCTTTAACAGATAATCCAGCTGCCCAATCCTTCTGCCTTCCTATAATTAAAAAATTCACAATGCATATGGTCTATTCATTAATTGCAACATATTTCATGTTTTTAATATAATTCATAATTTAAAAATTTTTATCTTTCTATAGCTTTATACAGGGCCACAAGTTTATTAGCCCGTGGCTTTTACCTTGCTATCTTGTCTAAATAAAGCATTTATTTTTATTATTATTATTATTATTTTAATTATTATATTTTCAGGTCAAGACACAACTGCAAACCAACTTAGCTTCACCTTGCTAGAAACTCTGTTGAATGAAGACATTGAAAATAGGTTCGTAGTGCAGCTGCTTTTATAACATAACTACAGTAAAGCACACGCTCTGATTGGTCGATTCAATGTTCACCATTTGCCCTTGCGGGTACCTGCTGATGAGAGCAAATGCAAAGACTAGTTTTCACGCATGCTGGTTTTTTCTGGTCACATAAGATTTGTTAAATAAAAGAAAACTCTTTTGCTACAATGTATCAATGTTATGTTGTAAAACAAGTGGTAAACTCCATAGAGTAGACTGTTGAGTTATGGATGCACTTGGGAGGTTTGCTAAGCACTCAAGAAGCTAGAGTGGCTCTCGGCCTCGTGTGGCTCTTACACTTCTTTCGTGCTTAACAACCTCCCGCATACATCCATAACTCAATAGTGTATGCTGTGGTGTTTACCATTTTTTAATTACAAGAGTGGCAACTTAGGGTTTTTTCAATTTGACATTCACTTTCCTCATGGCTCATTTATTGAATGATGTAATACCTTGAGCTTGTAAGGAGATGTTGGTCACCTTACAGGGCCTAGGTTTTTAATTTTTATTTTCCAAGAAATCATGATGTATACAGTACGTACTATGATGATTACTCTATGTTATTTTAACAATTAGGTTCTATGCTGCCATGCACCTGTTTATTAATAGATCATAGATTAGGTCAGAATAATTTATTGTAACCGAAAAAAAAAAAAATTGGCATGCCAGGCGCAGCGGAATGTGTCACTGAATGTTTTTACCACATTTGACATCCCACGTGATCAATTATTGAACAGAAGCATGGCAAAATGGAATCATTTTGTACAATATGTCATCAAAATAACATCATCTTACAGTCTGCCATGGCTGGCAGTCTGCCCTTTAATAGATCATATGTAAGAACCAATCAAAATATGGATCGTATAGATCTTTCTGCCTATCATGTAAATAGAAATACTTAAACTGCTTTAAATTCTTTTCAGGATATGTAAGGAGGTGGACAGTGTCCTAGGAGGAAAAGAAACTGTCGAATTTTATGACATTGCAAAGCTGGGGTATCTTGGGCAGGCACTTAAAGAAAGTCTACGAAAACATCCACTTGTAGGGGCTACTGCCCGAGTTACAACGAAAACTGAGAAATTTGGACAATATTTAATACCCAAAGGAACAAAATTACACTTTTCAATTTTTGTCTCCCATCACCTTCCCGAATTCTGGGACAGTCCAGAAAGCTTTCTTCCAGAGAGATTTGCAGACACTAACAAGCCTTCAAATTTTGTTTACTTTCCATTCTCTTGTGGTCCAAGAGTTTGTATTGGAAAGGTTTTCTCGGCTATCAATGCCACAATTGTCATGGCACGCATTTTTCAAAAGTTCAAATTTCAGTTGGTGCCTGGGCAGACTGTGCAGCGGGGTGAGAATCTCACGCTTCAACCTAAGGGTGGAGTCCTGTGCACTGTCAAGGAAAGAACATCAGCAATTAAAATTAATTCATAACTAATTATGATGGAAGATCAAAGTGAATCAAACAAATTTTAGGTGAAGGTTAATTGAAGGTTGCTTGAAAGTAATGGTAATTGAACTGAGTGCAGTGCATAAAGGCTGATAGTTTCTAAAGAAACTGTTTGGCGCTGCGTCCGTGGGGGTAACGAAATAATTTGGATATATCAACAAAGTTGAAATGGTAAATTGGCTACCATAACTACTACAAAAGCTGATGTTTCGAGCGTTAGCCCTTCACTCCAACGAAGGGCTAACGCTCGAAACGTCAGTTTTTGTAATCGTTACGGTGGCCAATTTACCATTTCAACTTTGATGAAAATTATTGAGTGGAGTGCAGTCTGGTCTGAAATAATAGTCACATCATTTCAAAAACAAACAAGCATACAGAGCAAGTTAGATTGAGATCATAATATGATCTCAGACCAAAATTGTACTCCAGTCAGTTCAATTACCATTATTTACAAGCGTCCTTCAATTAACCATAAAACAACGCTTTAAATTTGTTTGATTCACTTCTTCAAGGCTAAAATTAAATCCAGAAGGGGCTCGAGATCTTGTCAAATTGAGCAGAGTACAATAACCACTTTATTACATTTATTTTGAAAGTGCAAAATTCAGTCACTCCAATTCAGGGTGTTTTGGTTAATACAAATTTACTATTGATCTAGTATTGAGCTTGTTTGTAAACAGTTGCCAAGGTTGTCTTTCATTTTCCTGCAATTTGATTGGTTCCTTCAAACAAGCCTTGAAATATGATTGGTAGTTGTGTTTTAGTAATGCTGTCTCATTGGCTAGAAAAAAGATGCAACTTAGGGCATAAAATGGTGCAGTTCGCGAGTAAATTGGACCAATCAGAGCCAATCAGATTGCAAGAATTACCAGTAATTTCAGACGGGTGTAAAAAAAATTGTAATCATTCTGCTAGATAAGTATAAAAGGATAGACTTTGGCACAACTCTTTCAAATAAATATTTATAGAAGTTACTGTTTGTTAAATGATTCTGTTTACTTACTGACTGTGTGTACTTATTTAATCTTGGTTTGTCATTTGAAGTGTGAATGTCCATTAAGAACAAATTTAAGAGTTAAGATGGAATGAAAATACACTTGGAGCAAAAAATGTGGACACCTAAGAAGTGATGACCATGAAGGATGAGACCCTATTACTTTTTGGGAAATGCTCATGTAGATACATAAACATTGATTCACTTTTCTCACTATTTGTGAAAAACCTTGGAAAACATGGATAGCTTCCATCATTCATCGCATGCTGAAATAGTGGCTATTAATTGTCTAATGGTGAACCCAGAAATCCTTATGATCTTGTCTTTCATTCTCAACATTTTCTAAGCACTGGACTGTTGTGTGGGAGGTCGAGGGTTCGAGCCCTGGCCAGACCAATACTCAAGGTCTTAAAATAATTGAGAAGAATAGGCTGCTTTTCTATAACGTCAAGTAATGGTTAGATATTCTAGTCTTCTCGGATAGGGACGGATAAATGGAGGTCCCGTCTCCTGCAGGAGGGGTAGGAGATGTTAATTTCCCACGCACAAGATGACTGTGTGATGGATGTCCTTCCCCAGGGTGGGTTGGGTTTAGGTGGATGAACCAAGTAGGGGACTATGTGTCCTATTGTTCTTCCACCTGTACAATGTACAGTCTTTAGAAACATAGAAACTTAAATCAGCTCAAACTTAGGATAGCAGTAACTGATGGAGTCTGAGATCATTTCTGGTTCTGAGCATTTAGCATTATTTCAATCATGCAGTTCAATGCTTATACAATAGAACAACAGGGGGAAGAAAGTCTGGAGAAAGCAGCTACAGACATATCATAATTTTAAGATATAAGACAGCAATTTTGGTTTTAAAAATAAAAAAAAGAAAATGTCAGCTTTCTAGTTTAAAGAAGAATTAGGTTGTCTTTTCGATTCCAAAGAATTTTTTGATATGGAAGAGTAAATATTGTGCAATCCTTTTAAATTTCACTTTGTATGACATTTTTTTCACACCACAAATATAATTTGACCAACCATTTCATGACCTTATTACATGACTCAGGCAGTCAGAGGGCCAATAACTAAAATCAACTAATTAAAATTCTCTATTGCCGGTCAATATTC